AAAGCCCTAGCACGCACGGCTAAAATAAGTCGAATCAATGCATTTCTTGCCTGCCTTTCTTTTCTCTCTTCGTCAATTTCTTTGTTTTTAGAAGCAAGCGAAGCAGCATTTTATGCACTCCGCTATGCTCTTTCATCCACTGACTGTGACTCAAGAATGCCTCTCTTCCTCTTACGTTCAGTACTTCCCTCCGCAGAATAGTTTAAGCTTCCCCACTTTTTTCGTGGTATTTTGAGAGCAACACCAAAATTCGAATTAATCAAATGGAGCGCTGACTCAATACTGCAGATTTACGCGAAGCAGTGACGTAAACCGGCGACGGGACTGGTAACACTATGACACATGAACTATGACATACAAGGTATTATCATTGCAAGTAGTTACCATAGCTACAATGTCCGTAGTCGACAATGCCTCGTACTCTCATTGTTGGTTATGAGCACTTCGCCAGGGAAGGCATTCAGTAAATTGCTATTTTTATCGCCGAAATTAGGCCCTCTCACGTCAGAATTGTAGGACTCTTGGAACTGTTGACCCAATAGGTATCGGCTTTGGGTCATAAGCTTTTGATTTACACCTACAGTATTCAAATGAGACACACCGAATGAATTTGGAACTCCCATAAATCAGATGGAGAAGAGGGATATGGTTCCCGTCATCAAAGGCTCTCAAGTTCCCTTAGGGAACAATATCTACTGAGTTTCTTTTCAGCTTTCTAAAGAGAAACAACTCTCGAATTTCAAACAGACATGGTTTCAGTCAATAATAGGAGATGCATTCCGTCATCACGCGAACCCTAATCGCCTGCACGCAAATTTTCAGCGAGTTCCGCTCAGTAGCCTTAAAAGTGTGAGTGCAGTTCTAGTTTGGGACGCCCAGTAGACTAAGGGAAGATTTTGAGTTCGGCCGAGATGCGGATTGGATCGATAAGACAGATCTGATCCGTGCATCGGGCGTGTAGCAAGATTGGCAATCGAGTTTCCTGTCGAATGCGGGCCATGATGTTTTGAGTACACGGCCCGGGAAAGCGTGCAGGACAATGCTGTTCTTATCGCCAAAATTAGGCCGTATTACGTGAACATTTTAATACTTTTTTGGACTTTTGATCTATAAAGAATTGCTTCTAGGTCATAAGCTTTCGATTGACATTACACTTAAGGAAATCCATTCATCCGTCTAGGAGGAGTTTACCGGAATGACAGAATAACAGACAGATTAACGTCTTATGTATATGGATGGGAAGACAGCTGTATTTGATGGTGAGTGGCGAAATGTCATCTTATTTTTCGATTAATGATAGCTCCAATGAATTTTTTCAATGGGCTACCAAAGGGTCTGCTGAATGGGGTATTACAATTGAGACGATTGCTGTGTGGAATTTTCTAATCTCTAAGTGGCCGAGAGAGCAACAGATCTTTCAGAGAGTTTGAGAGGATAGAGTCCTACTGACCTTCTAAAAATTCCTCTCAACATTTGTCTCAATTTTAATACCCCTTCAGAAGACCCTTGGGTAGCACATCGAAAAAATTCATAGTGAGTATATATGTTCTGTTAAAATACATCAAAGTTATTCAAATTTAAGAAAACCTATCGCAAAAAAATCAGTATCCGCCTGAAACCGCGGATACTCAAAACCTCATACGGTACGGTAAAATGGTATACATTTCGATTTCTCGAAACCGCGGTCGGCGAGGGAATACATTATGTCCTGTAATAGAAGTCAGTCCCCTGCTCCCGAAGCCAAATTTCTGCAGCCTGCCTGAGATCTTCTGATGATTTGAAGTGTATTCCCCGAAGGTCTCTCTTCAAAGGGCCGTGAATTTGGTAATCTAAAGATGTAAGTTCTCGAATATAGAGTGGATGAGCGATGACTGTACAATAGAAATTGGCCAGAAGGCGTGCTGTTTGGTCAGCTGTGCGTATGTGATCCGACGTTGTCGTGCAGGAGACAGATTTCGTAGTACCCTAAGTTCAGGTCTCTTCCACTTGATTCCAGTTCTCAGTTTTTTAAATAGTTCGCAGTATCTCTCAGCATTGATGAGATGCTCGTTCTCCAAAATATCACACAGCAATATTCCTTTGTGTCCCAAGAAGTCTGTGACCATGATATTTGTGGTCGAGCTCTCAGAGCTGCACTTCATCAGACGAGAAGAGGAATGACGTCATTCCCTAGACTGTTCCTTGGTTTCCGCAAGAAAATACAATAGCTCAGATTCCTCGCCATTCTTGAACAATATTCTTACTCCTGAAAAGACTTGGCTACCGTATTTTCTTGTACCTAAGTACCGAAGTTCCTGATTCTAGGAAAATTGATGCATTATATCACTTTCTATGCCAACTCAAACTTACTTATTAAATAAGTGGGTAATAGAAGCCAGCTGGTGCTTTCTATTCAGGCAGCAAAGCGAACTGAAATATGGGTGTGCTTTAACAAATAGCCAAGGGGGCATGAAGTGTGGTCTTTCCCTCAAAAACTGATTTCATACCAGAATGTACGGTCAACGCAAGAGAATGAATTTCCGGTGAATTGGCAGAAGTTTTCGAAATCTAAATGAGTAACAAAGGGATAACAACAAAGAATATGCCTCTTTGATGAGGCCATCATAATAGTAACGCCATCAAATATGAGTTGTCCATGAGAGTCTCTTCCATTTTTTAGGATATATTCGTTGAAGTGCGAGCATGTCTTACATGAAAGGATTCCATGAAAAGGAGGAAGCAAGCCATCAAGTTCATTTTCTTGGAGTCTCCTTCCCATTCTCGAATTTGAATTTGAATTTTATCCATTCCGATAGTTCCGAGATGAGATTAATTAAGCGGAAATACGCAATTCTAGAGGAACAATGTGCTCGGCGATGTGATCACGCTCAAAAGTACTCGTACCGCTGCGGAAATGCACTCTATCCAGGGTTCCTGGATTCACCCTTTCATAGCAGTCTCTTTAAGGCCACGGCTGGCGAGAGTATGTCGATTGGCTCAAGAAGGTATTCTTGTGGTATTCCATAATATGAACCACATTCTATGATTAATATGATTGAAAATCCAGAATTTTTATAGAATATGTAAAGCGTTTATCTTCGTAAATGAATACTCAAGATTCTCATAACGAAATAATAATAGAATCCTGAACATGTAACACAATTTTCAATAGGCGAAGAAACCATGGGAACCACGCATGCAAGCACACTTTGCTTGAATAACCTGGAACAGAATGAAATTGAGAAATTGAGTTTCTGGAAGAAAGGCAGAAGACTTGAATTTTGTCGTCAAAACGGATGAATGATTAAGTAATGTCTTCTTCCAAAAGTCCCTAGGGAATATTGTGTTCCAAATAATAACACGGTGTGCAGAACATGCAAGAAAATGTCCACCTGCTTGCAATTCCAAAATTTCGCAAAATGCATTTCCACATTCTTGACAGTTTCCCTTCCTTTGGGATGCACGAACTAAAGAATATGGCAATTTCGAAAATTCATGAAAATTCATTTTTATGAAGTGTACTGATTTCATTTCATCACGGGCAGCTGAATCATACGAGAGGAACATAACAGAGGACTGCTAATTGCAGAAAATTGGTTAATTTTTCAATTTTTGCAGTTTTATGATAATGTTACAAAAGGCTTTCCATTAGTATTTAAAGTATTTCTATATTTCAAGTATATTTCAAGTACCGTCCATCGGGAAACATGCCGACCTCTGCACTGAAGCAACTTTTGCGACAGTTCTTTCGCCCTTGTCACATGGTATCGTCGAATCCATTGGCAGAGTGCCTTGTCGTCGGCGGCAGTGATCTTTCGGGTCGGCCACTACGGCACCTGTTCTCCACCATTCCTTGTTCTTCGATATTGGCAATATTTAACTCAACAGTCCGAAAGGGGATCTTCGTCAAACGAGCAATTGTGACAGGAGATCGTTGACCATCGTTCCAGAAGTGCAAAACAGTTGGTCGCTTCGTTTTCGGTGAAGTATTTAAAGTATTTCGTCTTTTTCCCAGCTACACGTATATATGTATCATTCCTCATCTAGAAAGTTCTCGAAAAATCTCTCCAGAAATTTCCACAGATATGCTTCCAGAATGTTGGCTTATGCGAGGGGCAAGAACTTTTGTACGAAATTTTAAATTGAATTCACCCTGATTTTTTTTCTCTTAGATTTTTTGGCCTTTATTTCTCCAAATGTGGCTTAAGGATGGACCACAAGTTTTCAGTTGAATTTATGTCTGGATGGCTAGGTGACCAGTTGATCATTTCAGGTACATGCTGTTCTGAAAATTGTTTCAGAACCATTTCGAAACATTTTCAAAAAGACGCTGAAACGTGAGAAGATTTCGAAAAAAAACGCAAATACTTATTAGCCAACCTAATACAACATCCAAGACAGGGAAAATCCTCTCTCTAGAAGAGAAGATAATTATTTAGAGAAATACGCAATATTAGAAGAGAAGTGAGAGGGATGAAGGAGGAAAACCTAGTGCTCGTGTATGCGTTGTGTACTGACTATTCCATGGATTGGCAAAGCACCACCTAAGGTACTTTCGCTTTCGTCAGGCGTCATTCATTTACCTCCGGATCCTCGCGCACGAGTGCGTAAGGTGCAAATCACTTGAAAAACCCGACTGCGCAATCACGAACAACAGAATAATCCAGAGAGGACGCTATGTACCTTTTGTTAAAGGTGTAAAGACTTTCTGATTTTTACATTTTGGCTGTTGCCATTGCCATCGGGCGGGAATTTCACTCTCGACTCAATCGTAAGATTCGAGTAACGTGACAGTAACTATATGAATATCATGTTCTTCCAATCCATCTCAAGTTCAGTTTGATTAACTATCCTTTGGATATAGATAAAACACGGGTTCGTCTATTCGCCACAATTGTCGTGCTTGATTTTTCCCATTTTGCTTTCTACTTTTCCTGGACAGGCGTACTTGATTTTCCTTTTCGACTTTGAAATTCTTGGCGTCAAATCTGACTATTAGAGAAATAAATACAGTTGTAAGCACCTGAGAAATTTGTAGAGGAGTGCTAAGAAGAAGGACATGGACTTTCATTCTGAATACATCGATATGCTCTCCTCGATCCAGTCAACAAACCTGATGGAAAAGAAAAACAGTATTAACGACAAAGGAAAAACGCCAAAGAACAACTTGATAAATTCAGTCAGCGGGAAATGAAATAAGTGACCCATTATTACCCATATGGGTTTCAATGACTGAAATATATATATTCATACGTATAATCAATTTGTATGAGCTTGTAGCCTTAAATCACTTTAGATAAACCTCTGTTGTTCACTTTTTTAGGTTAACAACAATTAAGACATGCTATTAGGTGTTGAGACTAGTGTTAGATTCAACATTTTCAATGTTGAGAAGCAAATATGTCGATATATCACATATTAATATATAAATTGTTGTTTTCTAGGAGGGAAGATGAAAAGAGATGAACATGTTGCCTTAAATTTCATATTCTCCACATAGCGAGTAGTTTTAGAAAGAAGTTACTTATTTATATCTGACGTTATTTTCCAATATCAATTTTTACGATAATATTTCAAGTAAATAGTTTTTCTTCATGAATTGACTAATGCCACATTCCTTACAAGTTACCAGCGTGTGAACTTGTTGATGCTTGGTTTAAAACTGGAGTGGTTTATAAAATTCCATGCCGTTTTTTGTGGGAGAAACAGTTTCATAATATAGAAAAAAATTACATTGGATTCGCGATCGATAATTGACAGTTACAAGGTGTTGAAATGCTTGCCAACTTTAACTTTTCAAGGGATAGTTGGATCCAGCTGATTCTTGATAGAGTGGTTCAGTGGTCTTTTTCCCCTCCGCAAGATGGCGCTGTTTCCCGATAGAGGGCGGTGTTGTTGACCGGGTGACAGAAGGTGATTAAAAAAAAAGAAGTTGTAATAGTCCACCTGCTGTTTGTGTAATGGGACAATACATGGCTAAGAGTATTGTTAAAAAAAAAGATGCAACGCCTCCTATATTTCCATGTCCAAGAATTTGCGAATCTTATATTTTTTACTCGAATACAAGAATCGTGCTTTCTTTCCTTTAAAAAAGGAGGAGCTTTTTTAAATTAGCCTTCGTCACCCGGTCAACGACAGAGTCCTCGATTGGGATACACTGGTATCTTGCGGATGTGAAAAACACCCATTAAACTTATGAACATCTCTGTCAATTATCAGTTAGATAAGTCCCTTGAAAAGTGAAAGTTGTAGTTCATTGAATTCTTAGACGGTCGAGTACATGTAATAACCTCACCTAAGGTGGTATATTCCAACTCTAAGCAACTTTAAATCACCTCTTATTAGGGATTGCGCGACTTGGGCAGGGGTGCTGAAAAAAGCTGGTAAACATTTCAACACCTTGTAGCTGTCAAATGTCGCTCGCGCATACAGTGTGATTTCTTTGCTGCATTTATAAAACTGATTCTCCAAGAAAAAACGGTAGAGCGTTTTTTTAACTACCCTATAAATGAATAGGTGACCACTTCAACATGTTCAAAGAATAATATAAGTTATCGCCAATACATTATTATTTGCATGAAACTGCAGGCGAAGAAGAATCGTCAAACCATGCTATTTCTAGACGAAAAAGCCAAGCGAAAAAGTCTAAGACACATCCGAAATATCGAAACAGAATAAGCTGCAGGGGAATAAGAACAAGGCATGTCTTACTTTTTGACTCTAGTGTATATGCCATACTGCCCTGGATGATAATTGGAGCACTCCTGTGTTGAATTTACGTAGATGTGACTGACAATTCCTTCTACAAACCACTTGCGTCTCACCCCACGATCCGAGGTGAAAACCAATGGACCTCCCGAGTCCCCAGGACACACCGTTTTATACTCTAGGTGACCAGGAATAAAGGATACATTCATATCCTCGATTCGTTAAGTCAAAGTCATTACAAATCCTATTTAACAACGATTTACAGAAAATATCAGAAAGTTAAGAGAGAACGAAATACAGCTGTCATATGATGCAAGTAAAACATATCAGGCTTAGTAGCGGAAACCATACACTGTTAAACAGATTTCGAAACATTCGAACTGTAGTGAAAAAGCATTAGCGTGAACATGCTTCCAGTAAGTGATTCGTCAGATGTTTGCGATAAATCATTTAGCAGTTGCAGTTTTTTTCCGTAGAGGAGGTGCTTTCTCGATGAGATGGTGGCGCGACTTTCTCTTAATCACGAGGATAATTTTCTTTCAACATATTCCTCGCAATTGTCATTTACGACCTTCCTGCATCGAAGGACAATGAATATTCGTTAGAGGCTTCTCCTGCCGTGAATTAGAAGGATCGTTCCTTTAAAAATACTATTTTTTAGTTTTTGTTTCTTCCTCGTAAAATTTCAGAAAATTCGAAAATCTTTCAAGATAGGGCATGAAGTGATATTTTCAAGGAAATGTTGGTAATTTTTAGAGCATTGGAGGATATTTGCATTTCCAGTCTGTCAACCGGAAATGTTTACGTTGAATAACCTGGAATTTCCAGAAAATTTTGACATCTTTGAATTTTTGCATCTAATGATGAGAATCATGATATGTCATGAATGACATATATAGCCTAAAGCAGTTGAATGAGTGTGCCAGTTTTAAACAGGTTCGCCTGTCAGTTTCTGCTCTCATATATTAATTGCTGTAAAATGCATCAGTCACAGGAGATTGAAAATATGCTTCAAATCATACCTCTCCTCCCATTAGCCGAGGCCACACTGCTGTCTCCTGCACAAAACATGTTTTCGGTGATGTTCGTAAGAGGATTGCTTGTGACAAAAGAGGAATCATTGAGACATTTTTCATTGGATATGACAGAAAGTTTTATATGCCTCAAAACATCCGTTCCTTCATTTGAGGCATCATGACCCCAACCGGCCACCTGCCGCGAAACCAAGAAAAATACACATATGAACTTAAAGAAGGATGTGAGTTGAATCATCGTGGCTCACCCATCCTTGACTTCCTCCTTGTAGATTGACCTCAGTCAGATCGGAATGGGTTGGGAGGCAAACCAACTGAACCCGATCCGTGAAATTGGCCGGCTCCGTGAGTTTCAGAAGTGCTATGTCCGAATTATAGTGCTGAGCATCATAATCGGGGTGGGGAATGATGAGAGTCACCTGCGGACAAGTGACATGATGATTGAAATGTTATTGATGTGACATTGAAAAAGAAGAAAAGGAGAAAACTATAGGTTTGTGCACCTCTTTCTTCTGGACTAACTCATCGTCCCTTAACACATCTCGATAGTGCTTGCCGAGATAGACGAAGAAATCGTTAACACCTCTGACTGTCCCTTCCACGACGCAATGTGCTGCCGTGAGAACCCATCGTTCTCCAATAAGAGCACCTCCACATAATATTTCCTTGTATTGCTTATCATAGATGGCAGCTTGCCATGGCCACTTTCCAGGCTCAGCCATTATCCCACCCTTAATCAGGGGTGAAGCTGGTCCAGGAACATTTTTCAGTGTCCCACATTCTAACAGGAGTAGAATTCACGTTATAATTTCATCACCAACAATTGTTCACAATCGAGCATCAAAAACATTTCCTTTAACACGGACCAGGTTCACAGAAGGGGTCAGGTCCTGACCACTTCTGCTTCGCTCCACATATTCGAATACGTGGGCCCCTCAGAATATGATACTCCTCACAAGAGTAGTTCACTTTACTCCTGATGAGGTATTTCCCACCTTGAATACAGTCAGTTTTATTCTTGGAACTGAAAAAAATATGAACTTTTGTCAATGGCCAGTTCCAGTGTTCCCACATTCAAAGGAGATTATCACTCACGCCATGCCGTAACTTAGGTTCACTCCCATGATCTCTCAAACAAGTACCATGGCATATTAAAAGTAACAAAAAATGTTAGTACCAAAACAGACGTTTCTTCCTAAATTAGACATGAAACACATTTCTATATTCTCCTATACTGTATAGTTATACAAACAAATGCATAAACGTATAATAACTCTGGTTTATGTAATTGTATGAGGATGGAGGGAAGGGGGGGGGGACCCCTCTCAACGACGGGAAACATTAGAGCATAATTGAATAACCCTACCTCCGCTCATCATTAGGGCATGAGAGAATATGGAAGCGTCCATTCTTTATACCAGGAATTGGTTCACAGCCAGTCACCCCTGCCTACAAACGGCAATAATATTCTTAATATCCTTGAATGTCTGAATGGACTTGATTTGTCATGGCGTTATGGCATGTATGGCCGAATTTAGACTTACGTTTCCATGACGAGGTGGAATTATTGCAACGGAGCTAATGCAGCAGACCTGAGTCTCTTTCGGACAGGCAAAAGTAGTGTTAAGAAAACCACCGTCGCACATGCCAACATGATGTGAATCTATGCATCTTGAACCACCTACGCCGTTGGGACACTGAGGACAGCTTGGACATGTCATTACGGAGAAGAAATTTGTTTTCACGAATGCAATCAAATCATTTATCATTCTGGAGTCGAGACATTTTCTCAGTAATTCCATCACATCAAGGTGTGCCAAATAGGTGCCATCTGTGCACGTCCCCCTTACTTCTTTCAACAATTCAGGAGAGAATGCCAACCAGGATAAACCACAATCACACTGAATGGGATTGCCTGGAAAGAAGAGGAGAAAGTTGCAAGAAAAATAATAATGGAGCAGGAAGTTGAATCACCCTGGCACTCACCATCTAGGTAGAGAAAACCATCTCCCTGAGAGAGTTCCTTCAGAATCAGGTGAAGGACTCGCCCGTCAATCTTAGCTATCCAATTACGATCCATGTGCACTTTCGTGTGTGCCGAAAGACCTGAAATTGAGGAGGGCAATCAATGTTCCTTAATTAGAAAAATTGCAATATCATCATCAGGCCATGAATTTGAGCATATAATTTATTGCATTTTTCTTCAAATAAAGCATCTCTCTCTCTTTTGGTAAATTGGTATCGCAAGATATCGTGTTTTTGGATGTAACGTGAGACACAGAAACATATGTTTTCACTCTAAAATGAGCAGAAAGAGTAACAGTAATTAACAAGATTAGCGAAAGGTCAAAGTCTACTATCCTATTGCTCATTTTTGATTTCCTATTTTAGTAATTGGTAAATCAAAGAGAAATTTAATTTAATCTTGTTTTTAAGAATGCAACATGAAAGAGGATGTAACGACCCAGCAGTAGACACTTGTTCTCTGAAGAATCAGTCGTGTCGGGGGATTTAGTATTAAAATGATGGATCCCAATAACATAAGGACAAATGGTTTCTCAATTTAAGCATTTTCAATCCGACACTAAGATTTGAAAAAATGATATTACAAATCCCGAAATCGGAATTAGTAGTGCCACTCTAAAGCCCGGAAATGGGTAACGCGCTTCATGGCATTAACAACATTAACACACATTTCCGTAACACATTAATGTTCTTAGAAGAACGTCTGAAATACCACGTGCGATAAAAGTATGTAAACTTTAGATTCTAAAGGAAACATTGGATACTTTTCTTCTCATCCCCATGTAAATTCCTAATTCATTCGTTGTCGTAACCAGTTTTTTTGCGCCTTTAATCATGTATCATGTTCTTGCGGACGATAATATACCATAATTGAGGTATTTCCACTGCGATCATTACTCGAAGACGCTTTATCGTGTCAAGAATTACGAAATGTATGATTGCGGGGATATGAAGGGGAAGTGTGGATGCTCTAAGATTCGGATCAGCAACTAAATGTGTCAGGTAGCGTCCACGAAAAAGGGAAAATTAATGTCTCACAGAAACTGCATCAGTATCGGGTTTCGAGGTGGCGACTACACGTCTACCGCTACAAAAAATACATAATTACAATTTTACGGCCGGATGGACGCAGGAACGTGCAAAAGAGATGTCATAGGACATATGACCAAAGAAACTGACGTTACATTTGGAAATTCAAAGAAATCTAAGAATCGATACTCACTACCGCTTTTGAAGACTGGGACTGACGTCAAGGAATTAAAGGAGAGGCCGAGGAACCTCAATTTGGGAGTTGCCCATTTGTCGAACTCCACATTCGTGATTTTATTGCCAATGAGATTGAGTTCTTCCAGGCTGTCGCTCTTGAAGGCTGATACTGACGTCAAGGAATTAACAGAGAGAATAAGTGTCCTCAATTTGGGAGTTGCCAATTTGTCGAAGTCCACATTCGTGATTTTATTGCCAATGAGATTGAGTTCTTCCAGGCTGTCGCTCTTGAAAGCTGGGACTGACGTCAAGGAATTGATAAAGAGCTTGAGGATCCTCAATTTGGGAGTTGCCCATTTGTCGAACTCCACATTTGTGATTTGATTATAACTGAGGTCGAGTTCTTCCAGGCTGTCGCTCTTCAAAGCTGGGACTGACGTCAAGGAATTGCTCAAGAGCTTGAGGATCCTCAATTTGGGAGTTGCCCATTTGTCGAACTCCACATTTGTGATTTTATTATGACTGAGGTCGAGTTCTTCCAGGCTGTCGCTCTTGAATGCTGGCACTGACGTCAAGGAATTGCTCATGAGGTTGAGGATCCTCAATTTGGGAGTTGCCCATTTGTCGAACTCCACATTCTTGATTGTATTCTGACTGAGGTGGAGTTCTTCCAGGCTGTCGCTCTTGAAGGCTGGGACTGACGTGAAGTATCCCGAGCTGAGGTCTATCGACCTACTTTCTGGAATTTGCCTGGAAGGATTTAGAATATGAAAGTTGATTTACATTGAGTTATTGGTAGGGAATCTAGAGTTGACGCATGCACATTCAGATATTGAAGACACAGAAGAAACTGACAATCCATATCAATATAGGAATATCGCTTGATATACGCAAAGGCCCTTATCGACATTTTTATTTCCACCATTGTGGGGTTATATTGTACATGCATATTCACATTTAATGGAAGTTTTACTTAAACTTTACTTTTTTAAATTTTCTTTGGAAATAGAATGTGGATATTTTTTCACTCAAGGCACTTCACTTTCAGTTGGTTCTTGTAAATTCAACTGCGACGCAGTGCAAATGTAAAATCTCACAGGCCATATGAAATACATTTTGAAATGCTTCTTTCATATAGGGTCAATGGGACGCATGCATTAACTTCATGCATAGGGCTGATGCTTCATCAAATCAAAATTACATTCAAATGATCACCCTCCGTAAGAAATACCTTAAAATGGGTTCCTGACATCCCACCTTCGCACTGCATCGCTGTGAAACTTTTGAATTTTTCAATTAAAATATAATTTAATGGCACATGGACTTCGCCGCGGACGGCCTTTTAATAAATTCCCATCTGGAAATATGCTTCATCGCCGTGAAAAATGATTCCAATTCGAGTTATTTTGGAGAAAACGACCGAAAAAAATGTAATGAAAATAGTCAATAGAAGACCCATCAATCACCTAAGGATAGATTACGATTCTTTAGCATTGTCTGAAAGAATTTTACCGATATGAAGAAAATTAATCACATTTGATTCAGAATTATATCACGTATTGCTCTTAAATCATCCCATCAATTGTTCGGATTAAAATTGTAACCTATGGTTCCGTTTTCTTTTATTGGGACATTTTGTAAACTTATTGGAAGCGTTTCGTCGCCCTGAATGTTTTCTCCAGAGGAGGAAGTAATTCTTAATTAGTGGTGGAAGTAAGCAATCGGAGACAGCTATGGACGGAATGTCCATAGCTGTCTCCGATTGCTTACTTCCACCCCTAATTAAGTATTACACCGCGGTATTTCCTTGACTTGTGTTGAGTGGTATGTTATCAGAAGAAGCTGAATAAACTAGAATGATGACTCACCAGGGCACATTGGAAGGCCATGACGTCACCCCCAGTGCTGATTGAATCTCATAATCAAAGGTTGCATCCGAACAATCAACTTTCACATTGTTCATCGAATCTATCGTGCACTTGCAGGGTCGTATGGATTGCGTGGGGCATTCAAATATACCAGACACCAAGGAGGGAAGAAAAATGAAGACGATGGTCAAGAATGGTGTCATCGTAGGATTCGCTATGGGAAGGTGGCAGAAAATGTACGGACGCTGTCGGTTCCCCTCTTAGTTTTGTCTTCTTAGCCGATTTAAATCGGATCCACGTGAGTACACAATTATTTCTGTTGGTGAGAAAGGATACTCCTACACATGACAGCAAGCACGTCAGTAATTTTTTTTGTTTGAAGTGATGCTGACGGATATCAATGAATTCAATTTTCTTCATTTTGAGATTCTCCCAAGCACATATTACTATCCCCTTATCTGTCGAGAATTACGGCAATTTTAAGAGGCCATAAAGTATGCAAAATAAGTTTGATTCCAAGAAAATAATAGCAAGTGATTCCAATATACACAAGGTATTGGGGTCCAACAGATCCAAAAGAAGTTCGTGTATATGGATTGTCCTCGTCTTAAGAGCAGTGATTGAGTTATATCTACCCTTTGCTGATCAAGTCAACACAGCCTGAACATTATTAGCGAGCACTTGCCAACAACTAGTCTCAATTTGCTACTTGAATTTTTCTTCATCCCATGTATAAAGTTAAGATTTCTGCAAGGCAGAATTGAGCTGGTTCCAATGTGCATGTCATATAGTCTATGAAAAACATTTAAAAAATGATGAGGCTAATGCAGCAACAAGGGACAAGGCGATAAAATCAAGCAAGTGTGTGTCGGAAGTTCCTAGTGAAAATAGAAAGAGAGAGGAGGAGAGAGAAAGTGAAATTTTTACCATGAAGAATCAGCAATTTCCGAAATGTATTATTTACGGTTCATTTCTAAGCTACTTTGAATGACTGTCGCTTTATTTTCAGACGACCTAGACAATTGATACCTCAGAAGAGGAATCATCTTGAGTAAGACTCAGTATAAGAAATGATGAGTTTGGAATTACTTGAGGGCGAAGATGGAGACGGCCTGAAATATGTATTTCTATGCTGAAATATGCCAGGAGATGACTTGAACACACTTGAAGAAATCTATCGGCTCCGACGGGTTTAGAGTTTACATGGAGTCAACGTCCACGGGTTCCTGATTCATTTTCCTTACGCTCTCCACTGTGGCAAGGGATGTTGCCTTATCTGGGGATATCCGTTTGCGGTTTCTGTTCGTGCGAGGTCCAACTTTTCAGCGGATTTCCTACTAGCCATACTTCATGATAAGAAATAAGTGTTTATTTGACATCTTAAACTAATTTTTTGGCTATCCCAAATATATTTCTCGACGTTAGATGACCGCCTGGAACGGAACGATGGAAATTTTTTTGTCAATGTTGAAATAATTTGAAGTTTTCCCTTTAAAAATTTCTGAATAAAAATATGTAAACTTTAATTTCGATTAATCCTCAGAAAGGAATTCCTGCATTTCCTCGGTAACCCGAAACTTTCGAAACAGAACATCTAAATTGAAGGAATATCTTTCAAAACCCAACGTCATAAAACTGGACTGAAGATTTTATTACTCTAAGAGGAGTACGTGGAGTTATCAGCTTGAACACGCTGGTGATCTGATATCGATCAACTTAGTTCCAAGTCAAGTCAGAGTCGCCCCAGAGTAGCCGGTGATCCGAGCGATCCAAGATGGATCATTTCATTGTCGATTAGAGATTCAGCTGGCCGACAAGTCGTCCGAAAACATATCTACCTAATGGGAATATATCGACACACTGCGGAAGATGCAACTGGGGAGATTCATCAGAAGAAGAATATTCTCAACAGCTCGCAATAGGTTTGAATGCCACCTAACCAACATCGGTTTTTTGAGGGAACTTTAAATAGTGAGAGATACCTGAACATGTTATGGGTTAATATCTCAACTTGATGGACTTAGCCTGGATCCACCAGAGTGGTTCCAGGGAGAAGGTGCATCCTCTCGTCATGCATCGCCCGATCGTGATAGGCTTGGTGAGAAAATCACGACCCACCGACTAATGCACATTAAGGAGCTTTCTATTCATTGCTCAGAAAAGCTATTGCATCTGGCAGCTCCTATTACCTTTCTTCAACCACTTCCTGCGGTAAAATTTAATCTCTTCGTATTCCATTCTGAGAACATCAAAGTGAAATAAATTTGGCTTGGTTCTTTCTCTCTCAACACAGAATCTCTCTCTTACAAATTTGATCTTCCGTTTTTAAGGCATGAGACACTGTGCTGAATTCTTAGGATAAGCTGAGATTGAAACTGTGGGTAACTCTGGCCGATCGATTTGGCGGGATGTGGTCATATTCCATCCTGACTTCTGGGAATTAACAGGATGGCGCCTAGTTAGCATGTCGTGTTTCGTAAAGGCAATCTCCGCTTAGAAGAAGAGTCGAGACTGCTGAAGCCATGAGAGACTGAATATGCCTGAGAGTGGCCTAACGTTACACGTCTTCGCCGAGATGTTTTAATGACCAGGGGTTAACCGCCATAGGCCTAATTTGACCCGAATGTTGAGGATGGAGTTTACTTTGAAAGAAAAAAGGTAGGCCTAGGCCTAGCGAGAAGACAATCGGTCGCACAGACATAGGCATAACGTTAGTGAATTCTATAGAGAAGGGTGCGGGAGGAAGTGAGGTGGAGGTTAAGGTTGGGGTTACGGTCAGAATTGCGGTATGCTGAAATAAGGGAAAACTTCTGAAATATTGTTTCCACATTGTTAAATGTGCTTTCTCTTACTACTGATTTAAAATAAACGCTGAGTTCTCAATGCTTTCTGAAAATTGGTTAGGCACGGAAGCGGGTGTAGTATAGACCCATTATACTCCTTCCCCCCGTCTCCCTACCCTACCCTTGTACAATACCCCTTCTCTTCCACTTCCCCCCCCCCTCCCCCTACCTCCCTCCCCAATTCCCCTTTCCCCTCTCTCACTCCCCAATACCCCCTTCCCCCTCCCTCCCTCCGCAATCCCCCCTTCATCCCCTGAACAATGCCTTTTTTGCAGCAGTACTTTAGATGTGACTACTGTCAAGAAAGTCCCGATTCATGTTCTATATATTGATATTTCCTTTTTTCTTATGCGCTTAAGTAAGTTACATGGAAGGAGAACAGCATCCGACTGTAAAAATCGGGCACGCAAGTTGAGTTAGACGGCGTTTCGGCATCGCACAGGCAAGGATCATGCCTGTTCACTCACTAGACCGAGATCGTGCAAGTCCTCCAATCGGATGACTATCAATGACTCTGGTCTTCGTCCATCCAGCACCTTGGGGGCCATCTCTCAGCGGACTTGCTTTGCTATCTGAAATTCTCAGATGCATTTCTATATGCGGCCAATGATGAGTTCCATTAAGGATAGGGGCTAAATTCGAATCAAATTTAAATGTGTCGCGGAGGAAATAAATGCACATTCAGCATGACAGCATTGTATCAACCCCAAAAAACTTGAAGCGTGCGACATTCTTCAAGTTCACGAATATGTTGCCCTGGCACTACGTTGACGTGACATGTTCCAGAATTTCTTCTTATCTCATTTCATTTCCACTTTACATATTTTTCTTTCCTAGTTGTGCCTATTTTGTTTATTAATATCTTTAGAAGTGATTCTATCCCTTTTGGACTAGTCATTTGCCATTTTTGCTGTTGAATTTTTTTTCTCGGTAAAAGGATGCTTCCTGCTTGGGAACGTCGTATTTCCGTCTCCAATATCTGTCGCGAGTGTTCCTGTCGATAACTTCATTAGGCAGACGACTGACCTTGTCTCGGCCTTATCTTCGTTTCGGTTTCTGTTCAGACGAGAGAGGAAATTGCAAATGATTATTTGGACTAGCGTCTTTCCCCGAGGCAACTCTTGGGGTTGCCCAGATATGTGACACGCAGAGAATACGCGAAAACGACTCCAGATTGCACCGAAGCCGGTACTATGCTGATTCCTTTTGCATATGGATATATGGGATGTGACAAAAATATTAGTTTATTTTATGAAACTGCCGTGTCCCGCGAGAAGTCTCCGTTTACCCTAATAAACCCTATTGCCTATATGAGTATGGCAATACATACCACAACTCCCTTGAGGCCACAGTCTGGAAGAAGAATCAATGCGTTCAACTTATTTTCTAGTTACCACAAAGCCCAGATATGAATCATATGTGGGATCGATCCACATGTGGGAACATGTGGATCGTCAGCTGAGAGTAACCCATTCAATCCCCACGAATCTCATCAAATTACAAAAAGTCTAATTCGGTTATACAGGGTATGAGAATCTGGACCAGACTATGATATGAAACTGTGAGAGGGGGGAGGGAGGGGCGAGGGGGATGGAGTAATGAATCTGATATGACTGAACCAATGAAGTTACGAATCCCATCTCGAATTCCATTGAAGGTAGCAAAAAAACAGCAATACGTCTATGTTGAGGGAGACCAAAGTTGCAGTCTCCATTACGACGACTTACTAGTGTTGGTTTGGGTACTTGTTCAACTAAGATCATTTTTCCGGGGTTGAGGCTGTGAACGATGCGGACGTCTGCTCGGAAGGGCAAATCATTTGAGATCAGTGAATCCATTTGTTGATGAATGAAATTCGCTACGTCATCGCTTTCGGGGCGATTCAGCAGAACATCTCATGTACCTCATACTCAACCCCCTCTGAACTCTACCAGTGCGTCGGCCTCAAGTCGTTCACGAGAGCTAGGTATAATCCTTCAGTGGGAGGCGGATTCAGCTGCATACCCAGTGAGTACGCAGAATCCATGCATTCTTGCAGTGGGCCCGTTCGAATCGATCCTTTCGCAGATTTCGTGCTGTCTTTCGTCGCAACAACATCCGGAATATCTGATGTTGCCTAACGCTCGGATTCTTCCTATACCATCAAACGGAGCTCTTCGGACACTGAGACTTAGTCGCTGCCTTCAGATTCCGACGGCTCCTATTCTCAAGTGTATTCAAGCATGTGACCTTAAAAAGTAAAAAATAAAGTCTTTTGATCGATATATCTCCGCTTCTGCTGGTTTTCCGGAAACTTTTCCTGTGCTTCCAAATGATTTTTTTTAAATTCAGCACTCAGAGGCAAGACTATGAAGGATTTGCGCAAAAAAGCTGGATAATGAAAATGGACAAGAAATGGAGTCAATACGATGACGTACCCGATTTTCAGTTTTCATCTTATTTAAGCCTCTTTCGAA